CCGTGTTAGCCAGGATGGTCTCGATCTGCTGACCTCGTGATCCGTCACTCCTCTGCCTCCCAAAGTGCTGGGATTACAGGCCTGAGTCACCGCGCCCGGCCGAAAGATGTTTTTTAAAGCTCATTTTGTGGTGCATGTAGCCTCTGTGGAAAATGGTATGCCACTTCCTTAAAAACATAGAGATGCCATATGACCCAGTAATTTCACTTTGTGATGTGTACTCTAAACCTGAACTCAAACGGATATTCGTACACCCATGTTCATAGCTGCATTATCCACAGTAGCCAAAAGGAGGAAGGAAGCAAGTGTACATTGGCAGATGAATGGATCATGTGGTATATACGTGCAGGGGAATGCTAATCAGCTTTGAAAGGAAGGAAATTTTGACACATGCTACAGTAAGGATGAATCTTGAAGACATTAAATGAAATAAGACAATTAAAAAAAGAAATATTGCACGATTCATCTTACATGACGTATCTAGAGGAGTCAAATTCATAGACACAAAGTAGAATGGTGGTTGTCAGCGGTTGTGGGCAGAGGGGAATGGAGAGTTAGTGTTGGATGGGTTCAGAGTTTCATCTGGGAAACATGAAAAAGGAGATTGATGCACAACGATTTAAACGTATTTAATGCTACAGAACTGTACAGTTAAAAAGTGGTAAATTTTGTTGGGCATATTTTACCACAGTTTGAAACCCTAACTGTACTGCTAGATAATGGGTAATGAACGTGCAGCGCCTACAAGAGTATTTCACACACAGAAGTGAAAGGCTTCAGAGTAGATTATTTTCCTAAGGTTGGTCGGCTTATAATGTTTCACAGGTATGGCCAGTAATCGCAGATTTAGGAGTAAAACGACCAACTGCGCCCAACGTGGGGCTCGAACCCACGACCCTGAGATTAAGAGTCTCATGCTCTACCGACTGAGCTAGCCGGGCGTCCGGTAACGTCGGCTAAAGAATTTTTCATTCTAGATTACATTCGGACCATATTCAACTGTGGGTTTGAACTTGGATTTATTTGGAGTGTGACAAAACTACTGAAGAGCCTCGGCTCCCGGGAAATTCAAACTCTGCCGTTCCTGCCTGACTGTCCCTCCCACTTACGTCCGTTTCCTGTCCCTTCTACCCTACCAGCGATCAAGCCATTTTCTACCCGCGATGAAGCTCACGGCAAGGAGATGGAAAAACGTGCATCCTGACGCCACTGGAGCTCTCACCGTGTGGATTTTTTTTTTTTTTTTCTTTTTTTACAGAGTCCTGCTCTGTCGCCCAGGTTGCAGTGCCGTGTCGCAATCTCGGCTCACTGCAACCTCCGCCTCCTGGATTCAAGCAATTCTCCTGCCAAAGGCTCCTAAGTAGCTGGGATTACAGGCGCCTGCCACCACGCCCGGCTACGTAGAGACGGGGTTTCGCCTTGTTGGTCAGGCTGGTCTCAAACTGCTGACCTCGTGATTCACCCGCCTCGGCCTCCTAAAGTGCCGGGATTACAGGAATGAGCCACCGCACGCGGTAAAGTACCGTGTGGATTTTTAAAGACAATTAATGGGGCCCAGAGGAGGGCAGGGGCCGCCGCGGTCTTTCTCCACCCCGCAGACTCTACCTTCTGGGTTTTTCCTGGCGCTCTGCGAACACGCTGGATTTCAAAATTTGAAAGGAAAATCGAGAATAAAAATTGGATGTGCAAAAGAACACTGGAGATGCCGGGGATCGAACCCGGGGCCTCATACATGCAAAGCAAGCGCTCTACCACTGAGCTACATCCCCGTCCGCGCTGTGAAGCTCTCCCAGATTGCCCCTAGTCGTCGCTTAGCTCACGGCATCGGGAGCGGATGACAACCGGTGAGCGCTGGGTCCCAGCTGCTGCAGAAACCCGGGATCGCAGGGCCGAGAGTTGTTCCAGGGTCCTCCGCTGACTCCAGACCAGCGGGTCTTGACCAAGAGATTCTAAGAGAGAGGATTAGGCCCGGCTAAGCACCCGGGAGCAGCGGTGGAAAAAGGAGAGAAAATCATCAGGCACGATGCCAAAACTGAACTGTGACCTGAAAAAGAAAAGAAGGGAAAATTGTGCAGGATGCTACGTTTTGTTTTTTAAAACGGGGGGTCGAGGCGATAAAATACGGAATATTTGATTAATGTAATCCAGAATTGTAAAGTGGATTGCTCGGGATGAAGAAAGAACTGGGACACAGGCGATGGGCCTACTTTTCACAGTGAACTGCGGCTCATCTTTTGAATTCTGAACCACGTTTAATCCGAGAAAACTTGACTGAGCTTGCCAAGAATTGCTCTAAAAACAGGATTCAGCCGTGAACAAACCTGGTACAGTCCGTCTTAAAGCTGACATTCCAGAGGAGATAGAGAGCGGGCACAGAGCCAGCCCAGAGAGGGGAGCGCGCTGAGAGACGACTTTACACAGCGCGCGCGTTCGGGGCGGGCTTCGTGGGCAGAGACGTTTGAAGCAAGACCTGAATGAGGTGGGAAGGAGCATGCAGGTGGTGGGAGAAAAGAGGTCCACGCAAGGGGAACAGCCAGCGCAGAGGCCACGGAGTTCAGGAACAGCAGGAAGCGTCGGGGCACAGCCCTGAGAAGGGAAGTCGGCAAGGAGGGAGGTGAGGCGAGGTCTTCGCCTTTGGGTGAGAATTGCTGGAGTTCCCGGTAACACTGGCAAGCCAGTTTCTGAGGAGGGTGCGGGCGAAAGCCTGATCCAAGTGGCCTCCGGAGTGAAGAAGGAGAGAGGGTGTGGAAGCGGGTAACACAGGCAGTTCTGCAGCGGGGCTGTGGAGACAGCTGGGGGACAAGAGGGCGCTGAGGTTTGTATGTGGGGGGGTGAAATAATACTGAATAAAATGGGAAAGTATAAATGTATTATCTGTTCAAATATTAAGTAAAGAGTAAAGAAGGGAGAGGACAGTCGCAGAAACGGTAATGGAGTGGACACAAGGCCATGCTTGAGGGTGACGGGACAGGGCCAGGTTCCAGTCTCTAAATTTAGCTCAGTTCAGGGCCGCGGCGAACCTGCGCTAGGGGAACCTGACACCGTGGCCCGAGCGCCAGGCCCTTGCTCCGCGATGCTGGGTCGGCCTCGGTCGGAAACCGGGAGTGGCTCCCGGCAGGGTTTGTGCGCCCACCTGTCGCGGCCCG